TTTGACTAATACAGCTACCAAAATGCGGTAAGAATATTTTACATTTCACTAATTTTTACGATTTTTGGCAGAGCCAAGATGAAACAGACAAATATTGAGCAATTATTACTCCTCCGGCATATACAGGGTTTGTTAGGTTAGGTATATATATATTGACATCCCCTGTATCTTTTTTATTCGACGTTTTCGAAAAAAGTGTCTTGAATAAAAGTTTAATGGTCTGGAATACATTTTTCAAAACAGTCTTCTTTGCATATACCGGGTGCCTTAGAAATCCTGTGCGTGGCCCAACTTTCTTATTTAAAATTAGTACCCAATTTTTTATTTATTTTTTTTTATTTTCTCCTAAAAATCCTAACTACTTTTATGTAGCATATCCTATACCTAATTTGAAATAAGATAGTTGAACCACGCCCAGATTTTTTGAAGCACCTTGGATATGCGAAATAGAATTTTTTGGCAAATTTATTCAAAACCACTTTCATTTGAGACAGTTTTCGGAAACGTCAAATAAAAAAGATAAAGGGGGTGTCAATGTATAAAAGAAAACTCTAAGTATACTAATCCAGTCGAACTTTTATTCAAGATTGTTTGTCATTTGAATAAGTTGGGTCTCTAATAATACCAGACAATATGTGAACAATATTTTATTATTATATTTTAAATAAGTAACAATATTCTGAGACTTAAACCATGACGATTTCGAAAATAACAGAACTTATACCTATTAAAAATATCTAAATTTTATTTTACCACCTACTATTTATTTACTGATATTTTGTTTTATAACAGCTGGAAGCAATGGTCACGAAGTGCACATTTTTAAATCTGAAAGAAAAATCCATTTCATTTAATTTAAAAAATTAGGTACCTACTGTCAAAATTTGTCAATTTGTCAAAAAATGTCATTTGACATTTATGACATACCTCTTCGGAAATCTTGAGAAAAATGACGTAACTTTTTATTTCAAGTTCTTCTCTAGCTACTATAACAATTAATTTATGAGAAGTATCCACATAAAAGATCTTACTATACACATACGCATGGAGACATACGCTTCCAATAAGTTTAAAGTTGCGATTTTTTGTGATTTTTTTGACTTAACTTTTCTAAGATAGAATATATGCCACTATCAAAAAAACCTTAAATGATTATGTTCTACTTTGACCTTTACCTAGTTTTTATCCAAAAAATCAAAATAAAAGATCCTTTTTTACTTACCTTGACATTAAATTTACCGCAACCGGGAATCTACGTAAAACACATTATGACAATTTCACAATAATTATTGACAGCAAGCTAAGGTCATCCGATTCAATTGTTATAATACTGTGTCACTTGAATGCAACGCCTACTATTTAAAAAATTGTAGAAAAAAGGCAGTTATTGGACACAAATTAACTGAAAATGTATGTTTTGCGCAAAGTTCGTTTTACAGCCCCTCGAAAGAGACTCCGAATAAGGTTTTTTGTTAGTTTTATGTGGTTTCCTCTTAACCAATATGTTTCCAATCTAATGTTATTGCCATAAATGTTAACTGTGGATGTTATTTTTTGCAACTTGGTTTGGACATATTGCCTACTGTGCGCCGTCATACCTGCATCTAAGACCCATTCCATTTTCCTGCACTTTGCTGTCCGCTATAATAGAGAGCTTTGCTCTGCCATAAATATGATTATGGTAAAGAGTAAGGAACTTTATGTTTATAATCGGAATGTTATTCATAATTAAATTGTGTATGATTCACACTTGTCTTTTATTTTGCAACATAAACCAATTAAAAATAGAATAGAATCAATGGCTCAGCTATGGCGAAATACTAGTTCCTGATATATCACCGGATTTAAAAGTCGTTAGGCAATGTGAATATTTGGATGGATTAGCCCCTGGAAATCTTTATCGTGGCATTATTCTATGGCAAAAATTTACTTACGCATTATTCTATGGCAAAAATGTTGTCAAAAATGGCAAAAACATCCGTTTCTCCGTCAAAGATTTAGAATAAGCCCCTTCTAAAACCCGCAAGGATCTCTTGCCATTTAGATTATGATTTATGAATATTTTATTTAATATTTGGTTACCAATATATTTCCCGCCCAAATGCTGAAGTAATAATTTCTCTGGCTATTGTAATGTCCTTCCTAATTTCGTGTTGGCTTTTTTCTGTCCAATAACAATAGTTTTGTCAATTTACCCAGCTATTCAACGTAAAAAATAAATTTTAACGAATTATTAATTATTATTATTAATTTACAGATTATTTAAATGTACCTATTTTTATGCATGTAATTAACACGTTTTAATCTGACGTATTCTAGTTTATCTAACGATCAACTTTTTACTATGTTATTAACTGTTTTTTTTCCTTATGTTAACCCGCGCTTGGGTAAATCCCAAAATGAAATAATTATTTTTAACAAAAATTATAACTTCTACCTTTTCTTAATGAACTGTTCCATCAGTTTCTGTTATAAATCGAGCTAAGATAAAATACAGATCCCCAATCAAAATCGTTAACGTCAAAAGCAAACCAACTAAATTCAATCAAACAAACTTCGAAATTATTTTCCGATATATTTTCTTCGTTTACTTTTTCTGTTTGTGATAGGATAGTCCAATAACTTTGAATTTTATTAACAAAAAAATTAGATATTCGGACCTTGAACGATTTTACAAATAGATGACGAAATTACAGTCTTGTCCATATAGAGGGTGTCCCAATATTCCGTAGACATAGAACTACTGCGTATTTTTGGAATCAAAATAAACTTATTGGACATATTTGGGGACATCAAGTCTTATTTATGTCTAAATTGTTGACACTTTACGTTGTTAATACCAATACATACAATACAAAACAAAATTACTTATACTACATTACTTTTACAAGAGTTGGAGAGGATTTTTTGCATATTTGTTCATAAACTCTTTTGCCGAAAAATTGAAAAGAGGGTGCCAAAACAATCTTAAGAAACATAAAATTCAAGATGGTGGACACTTCTCCTTTAAATAATATAGGGTGAGTCTTAAATAAGTACACAGTAAGTCAATCCGTTCTGTAGCTACGGGGCATCCGTAAAGGGGGAAACAATATTCTCTCGAAGTTTCTCGTAAATAAATTAGACGACGTGTCCCATCAATAAAAATTCCACAAATTTCCAAGTAGCCAATAAAATTAGTGGGCGGAGTCTCTTGCGGTGACATACTTGTCAAGTCCACGTAGAGTCTATACCGCTTCTATTTAGGTAGCGATTTATAATATATATTGCTGTTTATTTAAATGTTTTTTGTCCGCATTCCTTTCATACACATAGATCCAGAAGACGTACTTTATAATATTTTCAGGGGTGGTAGATATCGATATAAGAACCATGTTTTCTCTTTACTGTTTTTCAAATAAGTCCAAAATATCCGAGTTATTTTACTTTGAATAATTAAAAAAATATATATTTTTGCTTAAATTTTGAGAACCACTGAACATTTTCTGGGTTTTCTCTCCTGTAAATTTAATCTACTAACTGTTGTCATATTATCAAAACTATATTTTTAACTGTATTTTTCAATATAAAGAGGCAGTCCTCTACTATAAACACTGCGACCTGTGAGGCCTATTGTGTTTGTCCCTTTTCTATTTCTGCACCCATTATCCTAACCCTTTACTCTGCACCCACTTATGCAGGTCCTTGATAGGGTGGAAGCATAGTTCCTCCGGTTCTAGCCTTGTTTTCCCAAATAAAAAGTGTCACTGGCGATCCAGAGCCTCGCAGTAACATATTATGTGTTCCGCTGTTTCAAGATCATAATTGCAAAGTCTACAACAAAGACTTCCTTGATACAGGTTGTGCTTGTTCAGGTGACACTTGACAGCAATATTTTCTGTCAAGAGGCCTGTTGTAATCCGCACTTTATTCCTGCTAAGCATTAGCAGTTTACGTCCTAAAAAACTCATAGAGATATTCCTGGGATCGAACCATACTACCCCTAAAATATTTTTACTTATTTAAGACACTGTGTATAAGAAGTACTATTTTCGCGACCTAGCTTGGGGGTTCTTTGTCAGGATCGCTTATACCAGGTTCTCTCTTTTAATCAAAACAGCCGTTAGAAAATAAATTTGTTTAGTATAAGATATACAATGGTTTTATAAATATAAAAACCATTCTTGGAAATACCAAGACTTAGAGAGTATGCTGATATGGTACTCACAACAATATCTTCATTAGTTGACGAGCTGACTTCTGACTCTTCAGCTGACTGGCTGGCTGGTTAACTCACCAACTGATTAACCGACTGCCAACTAACAACTCTTTGACTGACTATGAACTGACTAAAAGCTGATTAACCATTGGACTGACTACTTATTGGACTGACTAACCATTGGACTGACTAAACATTGGACTGACAGCAGACTAACCAATAGCTGACTAACAACCTTGACTGTCTTCAGCATACTCTTTTATATTTGTCCCAATCATCAAGAAAACTTTTTATGACGCACCCGTCATAAAAAGTTTTCTTTGTACTTTTCCATCACCGATGTTTAGTACGAGCTTGCCTTGAAACATCACGCTACATCGACCTGACTTTAATTGTTTTAATTAATAATGTTTACTACAAGAACATGTCTAGGTCGATGTATACGTGAACGATTCCCTTGGATCTACATCAAATCGGCTTATTGAAATATAATTTTTACCTAACTGATATAAACCCAAGTATATATTTAAGTCTTGACTCTATGATTTTGTCATCTACTTGTTAAAAATAGAGATTAGCTGCGCCAAAATTTTCGGCTCTCTTTTCTTGATATTTTCGTCAAATTTTAACTAAAGTTCCTGGACTAAGGAAAAGAGAAAGAAAAGACTTGTTGACTCGAGACTAAAAGCGATTACGAAAAGTAACTTTTTTCATTAAATCAAGACGAAATCGAGCTGAAATTATCCGTCGCGTCATGCGAATGTGACCTGAAACAATTTAACGCTAATATTCTTTTTTGCAGGCCCAAAATCGACGGATGAGGACAGTGACAAATCTGTTCCTTCTCAATTTGGCCGTGTCTGATCTTCTGCTCGGCGTACTTTGCATGCCCTTCACCCTGATCGGAGCGCTCCTACGAGATTTCGTGTTTGGCGGGACCATGTGCAAGCTGATACCTTTCCTGCAAGGTAAGTAAATTTAATCTGTGCGAAATGTGTACTTACGTATATGGTACAGGGTGGGCCAAATTCGACGCTTTTAAAGGGAAACACCCTTTTCTATTGGAAATAGATGAAAACTAATATCAGTGTCTGGAGCTCAATTTTTATTAAAAACATGATGATGAAAACCGTACAATGATATCTGTACCGTTTATGAGTTACGGGGTGTTTTCCAAAAATGTGCATTTTTAGCAAATCGCTGTAACTTTTTTGCTATGGAAAATTTTGTATTTTTATGAAAACATTATTTTCAAATCACATTTTTAAGCTCGGATTTAAGTATATTTTTTTTAAATCTATAATTTAAGAGTTATCAACAGATAAATTGACCTTTTATCTGGGACACCCAGTATATTTTTAATTAAATGAAAACAACTTAAAATTAGCTTTCCAAAAATATAGCTGTACTACTATATTTTGTTATAGTCCCCTTCGAAATACAGAATTTTTAAAAGTTCGCCACTTTTAACTAGTAGGCTTTGGATCCCTTATTCGTGATCTGCCCCTAATAAAATATATTTTTCCAGCAAGACGAGGCACCGCCTCAGAACGCAGAAGTTATCAGAAAATCTTTGCAGCCAATTTCTAGAATAATTCAATAGCTAACCGAGATCCCAGCCGTTGGCCATCGAGGCCGCCGGATTAGTGCCTGCTTAGTGGATTTTTATCTTGGCAGAAGAATAAAGTTTCCTATTTTTAAATTGCCTGTATAATTTAGACAACAATTAGAAGTACTTAGCTGTTATGCTAGGGTATCTTTCATCCTTACTGTTGTCAAATATGTTGTTAAATATAATTTAAATAATTATAAAATTCTGCATCTCTCATTGCAAATATTATTTTAATGTTAATTGTTGCTCTCAACTAGATTTTTTTGCAATACAGCCGGGGCCGTTCAAGTGGGCGAATTTTTAATAACTCTATATCTCGAAAGGAATATCAAGTGTGCTATATTTTTGAAAAGGTAATTTTAAGTTATTTTAATTTAATTAAAAATATACCAGGTGTACCAAATAAAATAACAATTTTTTTGTTGATAACTCTTAAACTAAAAAAAAAATTGAAAAAATAAATAATACTTAAACCAATAAATTCTACGTTAAAAAGTGCTTTGAAAATGTTTCCATAAAAATACAAAATTTTCCATAGCAAAAAAATTACAGACCTTCTTAGTTTGAAAAGGTTTTCAGTTTTTAAAATTTTTGTTTCACTGTTATTAAACAAGCTCACAAATAAAACAAAGCTCAAAACTTGGTAGCAAAAAATTTCACCCAGTTAAAAAACAAAAACACTAATCTTAAAAAAAAGCAATGTAGTATACGAAATAGCATATAAGGACTGCGATGCAGTATACATAGGGCAAACGTCGCAATATCTAGAAAATACACTCAGATGCAAAAAAAACAGAAATTTTTGGTTAAATTTAAAGTTTTGTTATTTTTAGCACTATCTTCATGATTTTTTAGCAAGCTGTATATAAATTATATCAATTTTAATTCGAAAACTCAGTTTTTTCTAAACTTTGGTATTTGTCATATTATACAGGGTTAATCGAGGGGTTGTTTTTTCCCTATTTTGAAACACACTGTACAATAATTTCGTGTGTAAATTTTCCTAAAATATATTTTTACGGTCAGAACCATGTCTCCTGAGCATTTTGTTTTTTGATTCATGTCAATACATGACTTGGGTAATTTTTAAGAGTGAAATGAACTTGCCACCAACAATTTGCAATTTTTTCAATTATCATTTCTTCTTGAAGTTATTTTTTTAATATGACAAGGCGGCTTTGGTGATTATTGTAACCTATATACTACTATGAACTGCGCATCATGTTCGAAGTTTGGGAAATGCTTGCCAGGAGGTTACGAAGCGGTACCAGCTTCATTAAATGAACTTCGCTAATGAAGATTGGGAAAACATAACACAATATGGTATATGCAGCCTCAATGACAGTATGAACGTGCCTATACAGGCAGTAATAGCAGCCAAGGGAGACAGTACAAAGTATTAGGGTAGTTTTTACATTTTTTTCTGTTTGTATGATGATGATGTTTTCTTTAATATCGTTAGTTCTGTTATTGATTAATGTTTATTAAAACCCAGGCTTTATCGTTAGTCTTTAACGTTTTTTTTTAATTTAATATAGAGTATCCAATGCAGCATATTATGACGTTATCACAATAGTCACCAAAACGATCTCGTCGTATTAAAAAATTACATCAAAATGTAAAGATAATTGAAAAAAATGCAAATTGATCGTGGTCAGTTCATTTCGCTCTTAAAAATTAACCAAGGCATGTATTGACATGATTCAAAAAACAAAATATTCAGGAGACATGGTTCTGACCGTAAAATTAAATTTTAGGAAAATTTACAAACGAAATTATTGCATAGGGTGTTTTGTTTGGTTTGGACTAATAAAATTAGGATAAAAAACAACCCCTCGATTAACCTCGTATAATATGCCAAATACTAAAGTTTATAAAAAACTGAGTTTACAAATTAAAGTTGATATAACTATGGACAGTTTGCTAAAAAATACATGAAAATAGGGCTAAAAACAACAAAAATATAACACTTTAAATTTGACCAAAAAATTCTCCGTTGCGTTTTTTTTTGCATCTGAGTGTAGAATCAAAGGCTATAAATATGACAAAAAAAATAAAACGGCCTTAACAAAACACAAGACAGTAAAAAAACTTTATTAATAATTTAATATTATTTTTTAATTTAATTACAGAATTTACGAAAATTTTTTTTCAAAATTTTAAAATTTTTAGAAATATTTTTTCATACTTTTAGCTTCAGTGTGTGTATAGCTACCCTATTTACATACGTACTCATTGGGAAATCTCAGTGACATTAGAGCTCAAACCTACACTGTCCGAGAATGTTTGTTATTAGTCACTTATTATTAGACGTCTGGGGACAGAATAGTTTCTAACGAAGCAAATTATTAATTAAACTGGCACGTGTATCGCTAATACAATTACGAGAGAGGTCGAATTGAATTGGTTTTGTATTAACGCCCGTACGATAGCAAAGGTGTTCATTCAAAAACGGTCTCTCTCAAAGAGAATTAACTCTAGCCTTTACCCTAGTTCAACGCACCTTCAATTACTAAACCCATCGGTACGTGGGTTTGACAACTTTTGAAAACGTTTTTTGACTATTAGTAATACTTTTTAAAGCAGCAAAATTTGTAATATTCGTATATGTCAATTTAAAATTGCAAAATGTGCATTAGGGTTAATATACAGGGTGCTCCGAACTGTATTCCGGAAACTTCGATAGCGTATTCTTCAGATAAAAATATGTAAAAAAGTTCTTATAAATGTATGTCCTAAAATGTATGTCGTAAAATGCTTAGTTTCGGAAATACAGGGTGTAGTAGTTTCATTTTTATTTCGATTTTTTCCAAATAATTTCTGAAGTAACGTCAGTATTTGGATGAAAATTGGTGTCGGGGAGTTTTTTGACATGAGAAATTTGATTCATTTTAAAATTTGAAAATATTAATAAACACGCTTTTAGATGTTTCAAAAAAAAAAAAACTAACTTAGTTAGTCATTTTAAGAATTCTTTAAAAACTAACCGTCTGACTACATTTTAAGGATATATAATATATTTGCTATGGAAGTCGATTTAAGGAGGTCACAATAGGGTTAATAAAAAATGTGTTTAGAATCCTCGTTGGTCGTTTACATTATTGTCGTATTTAGCTGATTTTAATATTTCTTACTATTCTAGGTAATTTAAGTAACTATTCTAGGTAATTTAAGCGTCTGCCTTTTATTTCTCTATCTAATAAATTAATTGAGTTTTCATTAACTGTGTGGCTATTTAATATACAATCAGTTGCTAGACCAAAATTTCAAAAAGAGAAAAGAACAATAAGAAATAGCATCATTACTTATTTAGAAGTGTTTGATGTCGGCCGCTAGAAAGTATCAAATTAAATTCTGTAGTAACAAAAAAATAATGTTTTAATTATTGTTACTGAGGTCCGGTTCTATGATGGCCAAAAAGATCTGAACCCTAATTGGCAGTATTAATTGGAGTTTCTGGAACCGTAGTAAAATATTTTCGTTCAATGTGTAGAGTTTGTCAATTAGCAAGCAAGGGATGGTTGTCAAAAGTAAAACCGATTGTAAAAAAATTGAATTTCAAATAAAAAAAATATCAAATTATTAAGTCATAAGAATGTAAACATGAACACAAATAATGAAGACAAGCGAAAAAAAAAAGAAAACACATTGGTAGCTTAAAAATTACATCAAACAACATGAACCAACCTCGAAACCAACTTAACTAAATTTGAAAAAAATAACATTTTTAATTAAAGATGCAAATGCCAATAAAATATAAACTCATAAATTTAGCAATATTATACTAATAAATATTTTGGCTAAAAAAAGTGTGAGTGGTTCCATTTTTTTTAAACGCTGTATATTATTGCATTTTTGGCTTTGTTCTTAATCACTTTACATAGTCCTAAGATATTATTAAATTTGTTTGCTAATTTCAGAGTTATAAATCAATGAAAAAAAAATATTTTACAGCTTTTTAAAAAAATATTATAAATATCAGATATATCTGTAATGTATACTATGTACTTGCTATAGTTGGTTTGTACTTACTTTATTATATACAGGGTAGTCCACTAGTGCGAGGAAGTCAAATAATGTCGTTGTTGGGGAAGATATGAAAAAAAGTTTTATATAGATCGTTATACTTTATAAACGGGCATATACTGAAAATATTTTGTTGTATACTGGCTCGCACAAAAAAAATATGATAAACTTTTAAGTTCTTTTAAATTGCAACGCCAATTTTTCTGTAGATAATTGGATTCTGCACTATTTTTATTTACAGCGCTATGAGGTTTTACCATTTTATTTCTTATTTACTAAAACTTTGGCTATAAACACTACAGGGTGAGTCCGAAAAGTGGTTAAAAACTG